TTAACATGAAGTCCGGTCGTTTTTTCGGTAAATGCTCGCTTTGTGAAAAAAATGACAAATGCATATTTTTCGGAAAAGTGCAAATTTTCAGTTCACTAAAAAGTGGAAATATTGCTCGAGCGGTCGTTAATCAAAAAATCCATGTATGCATATTAACTAATGTTCATTTACATGTACGATTGCAGTTTGGGTCCGGGTTGTGATGGATTTCTTAACGATTTTTGGGCTGAGGAGCTGCTTGATGCTGTGGTTGGGGTGCTCGACAGCTCAGTTTAAAATTTTTAGCTTGCACATGCATAGGTAATATCCCTGCAAATTTTCAACTTTTTATCTTGCCCGGTTCGCGAAATCGTTTCCCGTCAACATATTTTTTTGGGGGTCCCGTATGCGGGGTCTAGGCGCGTGTGGGGGACACACCTTGAAAAGGGAGAATGACACACGGGGTAGGAACATATACCCAAAGTTTTAGCCCTCCAGCTTCCCTGGTTGCTTAGATGAAAGTGGGTGACAAAATGCACTCACTTCTGAGCACACACACAGAGCCTCTCGACAATATGAGTTTTTGCTCGCTGTAGCGCTGCACAGCAAAAACGCATAAAAAATTTGAATGATTAATTTCACAAATTCGTAAAGAGAACTGAAAGTCTTACTCGCCAGGAAACCCGAATCTGTGTTGGTCCAAGAGATGTGGCTCGTACATCAAAAGGTGGGCGACGTGGTGCGGTGCATTTTGCCCCAGTAAAGACATTCACAACTGGTGATGTGTACGCAATACCGTTATTTGCATCGAGCGCATGGATCCGGATTTGATAGCTACGTCCAGCAGGTAGTTCTCGAAGATCAACACTATATGGGCGTTGCCACCCTACGTATGGAACCTAAAAGCACGGTAAGATTAACCAATCAACCGTTTTTCTTTTTAATCAACTATTTTTTAAAGTTTTACATCAATTTTTAAACTTCTGCATGAAAAAATTTGGAAAATTTCTTTATGTATTGGCAATTCAGCAATCAAAAGCTTTAATAGATGGACGAAAAATGAACAGCTGACTAGTATCCCAGTGTAATAAAAGAGCAGTAGAAGGGCACCAGATGGGCTGATCCATTATCCCGAATATATAAGGTGATGTGGTGCGGAAAGCACAAGCTTGTAGTCGATGGAAAGGTTATCACTTGCGCAGTTGGAGATGTAGATTAAGAAATAACAGCAGACCATTTCAATTACTAATGAACTTTTAAATCATTTTGAATAGAAAATGGAAATGCGCTTTTTTAAAAAAGAGCTTTTATTCGTTCCTGAATTGTTCATCTGCGTATGTGGGAAAGAGACGATTCGAGGCGCAAAAAATTTTGGGGATTTTCCATGCGAAAATGCTATTAAACAGGGAGGGTATCATACCTGAATGCGAAGTTTATGCCAATTAGTGTCGGCTTCGGTTCGATATTCAACCCTGTATCCCTGTAAGAGATCGTCCACTCGTTCTTTACTTGTCCACGTTAACAGTGGGATTCCGTGACGGAAAGTTACCGTCGGCGCAATAATCAGCTCACCAATAGGCGGTGTCCGAGCGGTAGCTAGTTGCGACCAAGGTGAAGCACCGGCGGAATTTCTAGTCCGAATTCGAACTGCCCACTGCTGATTGGCTTCCGAATCAAATACGTGTGTTGTCTGGCGTCCACTTAGCAACACTGGTGCCACATTT